ATTAAATAAATTGTACGATTTGGATTAGAGAATTAGAGACTGAGATTCATCTATTAGAGTCTATGGTATATTATAATTCTCCAAACTTTGTTAATTCATAGTCTATATAGCAAAACTTGATTGGAGTACGGTAAGCTGGCGTACACTAGCTTAAACCATGTACAACTTATGAAGTTGAAAATTGTTGGCCAATCAAAGATCAAATGGTCGTGAATACTATTTTCGAACCAGTGATGAAGTTACATCTCTTATTGTTTTACATTATTGTTGATCATGATTAAAACCTGAATTAACTGTAGTGCCACTCATATCAGATGAAACGTGAATAATAGATAATAATAAATATATATGAAAAGTCGGAATCTGATACCATTGGAAAATGACAAATAATAGAAGGAAAAGTACAAACAAATGACACTTGCTGCCAATCGGGCGGGCACAAAATTAGTTATATAGTCGCAATTGTCCATTGAGATTTAATTCTTTTAGGGTGATGTATTTAAGATGATAATTGTTATATTATGAAACGATAATTGTTTACTTTTGCTTGGTGTGGGGGAGTTTGATAACACCAAAATTGGTGTTATTTACCCTTCATATTGAGGATTGTTTTGTGCCAATTCATGTATATAAATGCTTAAACATCGTCACTTGCATCCCTATTCCGTTTTTATTTGAATTCAATGTGATTTTCGGGTGTGTTAGACGATATATGCGAATTAGTTACAAAACAAGGTCATAAGTGTAGCAAGGGGCAGAAGATTGGAGATTGCGTCCTAAAAGTAAAGATCACGGCCGAGATCCTGGCCTGCGAAGTCAAGCCGAAGATCGCGGCCTGTAAGACCAAGATCGCTGCGGCGAATTGGAGGGCTAAGGGCGCGAACTTTGCCAAGAAAGAGCCGAGGAGAAATAGGGAGTTTGCATAGTCGAATCACGGCCACAATGCATTCTAACCGCGAGGCAAATAACAGTCGCAACTAGCCGATCGCGTCCGTGACTCTCGGATTGCTATCGCGAAATCACCGCGCGATCTCCTCAATCTCGAAGGCCAGCACGACTATGTTTCAAGATCGCGCCCTCTCCTCTGAAGATACAGTCCACGATCTCTGCCCTTCTTGCCGCAAACTTCTCCGTCCTTTCATTGCCTATAAATAGGCGACCCCTTTCGCCCTTTTAGAGGAGCTGATTTTGAGAGAAGAATTTCTGGTTTTTGAGAGAGAGAAGAGAGAGAAGCTGAAGGAAGGAGAAGGAGCTAAAAGAGAGGATGCATCTTCCTCAACCTCAAGTCTTATTCAATTTCTTCTATGTATCTTCTTCCCTCCTTTATGAAGTAGTCCTCTAAGGTACTAGGGGTTCTAAACCCCAAAACTTTGGTTTAGGGTTTACTATGTATGTATAGATATTTTAGGGATTGAATGAATAAATGTGTTTATGTATTTGATTCTATTGCTATTCTATCTTTGATTGTGTTTGGGTAAGTTGCCTAATCTTCTCTATTAACCTATGCTTCTACATTGGGTATGAGTTCTAGGGTTAGATGGGTATGCGCCATCAAGAAAATCATGATTGATGTATGAATGGGGACCTATGGTGGTCGAGGCGACCGAACCTCTGCTATAGGTAGCTTTCCTAGATAGAACTCGGGATAAAACCTCAATACGGATGGTGGATATTATCCATTGAAAGAAGCTATGAGCTTAAAGCCCTAGATACGATAGTCTAGATCGAGGTGACTTTTATGGGTTTAGGGGAGGAGTACTCAGAGGCGTGTTGATAATCACAAGAGCCCACGAAAAAAGCTCACTCACCATATTCGATAGCCCTAAGTATCTGAATATACATAGTAGCCCTAGGCTAGGGTGAGCGGTAGTTCCCCGAAGTACCTACTTTTAGCTTTATTCGATCTCTAAACTAGTTGTTTCCTCAAATACTCCACTAAAATCTCCAAAACGGATTAACTAATTAGCAACTAGGTGGGAAGTAGGCTAGGATACCAAGACCTGAGTAAATACCACATTGATTACCACTATACGAGAATGCATCTTAGGTTAAACTTGGCTTAGGATGGGGCAGTTGTTGACACGTGCTAACCATTGACAATAATCTACATGAACTCAAGTGATCAGTTTACCATGAAGAATACAAAATTCACTATGCAAGCCTAAATATTATTTCTAAATAACACTAGTTTGAGTGTTTTTTACCTTCATCGCACGATGAATACATGTTGTTGGAGTGCTTTTTGGGAGCTCGAATGAGGATAGCGGAAAATAGCTGGTAAAGAAACAACTATAGATAGTCTGGGCAAGGAAGAATATTAACCATATGTAGATGAGATTTTATATAATTAATAAATGTATAAATAGTGTAATAACGTTTTCATATATTCGAGCAAAAGATGACTAAAACGATTGGACCATTAATCTTTAACCCACTTACTCAATCGGCCCAACTGACTAAACTATGTTGACAACCTTTGATACTTTCAAATTCAGATATTCTATAAACTTTTGGGTTCCAATTTTGATAATTAAGTCAGATTGATTTTGAGAACTTTCAAAGAGTTTGGTTGACATTCAAATGTTGGTCTTCAAACTTCTTTTGTGACAGACAAGTTTTTGCGTTTAATTGTTGTTGGGTTGGACGAAGAAAAAGCGAAACGGATGGAGGATGGGATTGTGGCATAAGCTATAAAAGATGGTAAAAGGGGGGTAAATTTTTATTTTTTGACTTGTCCAATCATGATTCGACCGCAATTAATAAAATTTTGTCGCAGATTGTAACAAAGGGCAGGTTTGATAATACATATATAATATATAGTACGAGGACTTGTTTGATAGATTTTAGAAAAATGTATAATTGAGTAGCAATTTATGCTATTAACCCTACGTAAAAAAGTCACAGATCGTATTGGTATAGTAGAATTTGGGTGTTTTAAAATGTTTGGATTTTCTTAAATATTGTATGTTTATTAGTATAGTCTGGGCCTGGGCATGGTGGGCAAAACAGGTGTAAATATCGAGTTATCAAATTCCCCCATACTTAACTATTTGCTTGTCCCCAAGCAAACCAAGTCAGATAAAAGGCAGCTTATCAGATTTTCCATTCAAAACATGTTTAGGGTCATGATATATGGCACAAAACACATTGATCTCAATAGACAGCTAGTACCAACACATGAACAACAAAAACAACAAAAAACGTAATGACCATGGATATGACAATCGATCGCAACAAGATTATGGAAAGGAAGAGTCTATCTACTGTTCACAAACCAAAGCGTGACACAACTCGTCTACTCACACTCCATAGTCAACCATGCATAGAGTTCAAGCCATTAAAATCAAGACTGAGCAATCAAGGTCCTCACCGGGATATAGAATACAAGGAAATGAATCGCTCACTCTCGACCAGTGGGGTCAGGAAAATTTATGCGAAAAATATGCATGCTCATTCTCTCAATCCTAATGTCTCTTAACCATGATGGAATCCTCTAAATGTTAAGTTCACATATTGGGCGTCATCACTAAGTATTGAAAAGGTCTTAGACACGGGTTCAGATGACTGGCTAAGGTATTGGACATGGGGAAAAAGCCTTTTATGTGGTGGAAGAATTCATAGCACAAGGTTCCACAGTTCCAAAACCAAACACAGTGACATCTGTTCGACCCAATTACTTTCTTTCTGCTATTCTGCATTAGTCAAGTTCTTTAAGGTACAAGAGTGAAGGAGGTAACAACATGTAAGTATTTCCAAGCAAGTCTTGCCAAGAAACACTATTTTATGAGCATGATTAAGATTTTTTTGATGGCTCTCTTTTGCTTCATTTATTTCCCTTTTTCCTTCCTTTTTTTGTTGAGAGAATCACCACTTCTGCACTTTCTTTTATCCTTTCAAGCACACGCCCAATTTTTAAAAATACGCCCAACCCTCATCTTATTTCCAGCAGAAAACATGCAAAAATCTCTCCGTGGAACCTCAAAGAGATGCAAAAGGGTGATTTTCATTGTCGACACAAAACAAGAAAGTTACACGGCTCAAAAAGGCTGACTAGGGGGTATGACACACCAGGACAATCAATTTGATCATGGGTTAATCATATGCCTCCATCATCCGAATTAGTGGCAACGTAAATGATACACATCAAGAAAGAAACGAGCAGTCTCAAATCTCACATGACTACTTATATGCTCTAGCTATCTCTTATTATGATTTCCTAAACTAGATGCATAGAAAGCGGTAGACTGCGAGTAAACAATCCATATCAAAAGTTGGTTCAATACAAAAGCAAGATTGAACCTCTACACAATCCTAGTGTTAATCTTAGTCATCATTGGTCATTTTTGTCACAGACAAGTCATTCACGCATGAATGCCAACTGTCAACAGAGATCACCAAAAACTCTACAAAATCCTAGTTGGAGAAAAACAACTTGGTTCCCTCAAATTTTCAATTTGGATAGTGGACTAGGCTCCGAGCACATACCTAGCAAGCTCGATAACCCCCCCCCCCCCCCCCCCCCCCCCCCACACACACACACTTAAGATCGACATTGCCCTCATTAGAGCAGAGGAAAACTTAGCTTACCGATTCGTGGAGAGGGAGCGGGAGCGGGGACGAGAGCGTGAGAGCTTCTATTCATAAAGAATTATAAGTTTAGAGCGTCGAGAAAGCGCTAATATTATATTATTTTAAAAAATCAGATTTTGACAAATCACTCTCACAACTCATAAGAAAAAATGAGACCAATTCAAAAGTTATGTGGATACATCATATGCTAAACAAGAAGAATCAGAGTTTAATGGCCAATATCTTTAATTACCTAAAACTAAAAGGCGAAACCAAATTAAATAGCTAGAACCAAAATTCAACAATTTGAATACTTGATATGCACAACATAAGCCCAACCAATTAAGCATAGTCCATCGAAACTAGTGGATAAAATTTGAAGTTTTATTGTGGCCCAACTAAGTATATATCAATTAAGCCCAAACGTGCTGTCAAAACCCTAAACAAGTTGCAACCTACACCCAGCCGCCGACTCCACCCCCTGCTCCCTTCTTCTTTCCCATGTCTGCAAAAGCCTCCTCTCTAGATCCCTTTCTAAACCAGACCTTACATCCTTCGATCCGCACAATCTTCTCATCAACAAATCCCTCCATCTCTCACTACAACCTTGCAGCCTTCAAACCCCAGGCGAGATCCACCTACTCCGCGCATGCAGTGGTAAAAATCGTTGATCCGAACTGCAATATAATGCGCTGACAAAAAGTCATCTCCCTCAAAGTTCAATATCTCCCCAATTGATAGATTCTCTTTTAGATGCAGAGACTCTGGCATCTTTTTGGCTTCTCCATCAACCAGCCAGCGATTTCATTTCCTTCATCAAATCGATTTTCATCACCATTGACACTTTCTCATCTCCTCTGTTTCTGTAAAATAAGTTCATGAATTTTCTAACAAAATCCGCGCTCCAATAAACAAAATTCGCGAATTTTGTATGAATTCACTCAAATTCGCGTTTATACGCTCCAAAGTGGGAGCGCTGGCCCTTGTTTGGCGAATTGTGTGACCTAAGGGAAACAGTAGGGCAACGCTGTTACCAGGAAAAGGACGACAGCAGGCACAAACTAGAACAAGGACTAGTCATCAGAAACACGGGCTTGGAAGAGGGAGCAGACCCTGCAAGAACACGGTCTAAGAAAATATGTCACACCCCGCTCTTCCCAAAAGCCAAAATGACTATTATACCCTTGGGGAAATTTGTCAAATTCTACCGTAAAATCGATGGGGACTAAAAATGTGAACTCTCGGTCCAAATGAGGTGGAGTTTCGACATAACATGAGAAAGTTATGGACGTTAACTGAGTTTTGATTAAACTCACACGTAATTGTGAGATTCCCAAAATATCCTCAAATTAATTAAACCCTAAGAGTTTTACTCTGCCTCGCCCTAATAGCAATTGGCAGCCTTTATTTTTCCACCGAGAAGCATCTTGGCAAAAGCGGCCGCTCTCTCCTCTCTACTGTTCTAGTTTCTGGTTCTCCGCTTTCTGAGCTTTACTTGCTCTTCAAATACCAGTAGAAAACTTCCAACTCTTTCTTCTCTTTTCTTTTTTGTCGCTTCTTGCTTTAGACCACGACAACTGATTCAGTAATGACGGAGAGTGAAGAGGTCATAGTCAAGAGCGTGGTCATCGCCGCAGGATGCAATCGCATTGTGAATAACGTCTCGTGGGGCGCCTGTGATCTCGTTTCCTTCGGTTCTCGGAATGATGTCGCCATTTTCTGCCCCAAGACTACTCAGATATTGACCACACTTCCCGGCCATAAAGCACCTGTCAATTGCACTCACTGGATTCCTGGCGCCAAGTTTGCATTCAGAGCAAAAAAGTTGGAGAGCCATTATCTTCTATCAAGAGATTCGGATGGCGTCATCATTTTATGGGAGATGACACTTGCTGAAAGAAAGTGGCGGCTAGTGATGCAGCTACCACAATTATAATATTTGAAAGCTGGTCCAACCAAGTACGAGTGTAATATTTGGAAGCAAGTATGGAAACTTTGGAACAAAATCATAGTCAGTTCCGACGGGAGTAAGGTGAGTGTAAAGGGGGTAAATTCTACACCTTACGTATTCTTTTACGTATTATGATTTTAAGTATTTTAGCGAATTGGTTATCGTTGCTTGGTTATGTGTATGATTGATTATTTGTGCTTTGCTTGAGTTATGGTTTGAGATGATTTTGTGCTATTTGAGGTGATTTTGTTTGAGCTATGCTTGAAGTTAATGTTTTTAGTTACTTTGAAATTTTTACGAGTATAAGTTATTATTAAAGAGTAAGAAACAAGTTCTTTTAAAGAAGTAACCCACCTTAAAGATGGTGAAGTCATTTTAAGTGTTTTTAGTCACTAGCGCCAGTCCGTTGCCATTTGAGATTTTCAGATAGAGCTGCAGTTATGCTCTTGAGATCTTTGAGACAGAGGAGCAGTTATGCTCTTGATACTTTTAAGATGAGCAGCAGTTATGCTCTTGAGAATCGGGGTGAAGAGCCACCACGATAAGCTTAAAATGTTAGGGGGATGAATCGTTACGACTTCCCTAACTAAGTTTAAGTTTAAGGAAAGCCTGGATGGCTTCTCATACGTATGAGTTGGCAACCGGACTAGCTAGTGAGGGATCCCCGTGTCAGTCAAGTATTTAAGTCAAGATTTGAGTTTTAAGAGAGGAGAGTAACTTCAACTCCCTCAAAGTTTAAGAGTTAAGATTTTAAAATTGGAAGTACAAACAACTTCCACTAGTTAAAGTTAAATGTTTAAGTAAAATACTCAAGTATGAGAATTATTAAAACGTAAGGGCGTAGACTGACCCCATCTCACTCACCAGTTTGACGAGCTAGAGAAGGAGCTAGAGGCGTTGTTAGTGAACAGCAAGTTCAAGGGCAGCCAGCTAGAGAAGGGCAGTGTAAGTGTCACGGAGGATGCCTAGTTAAGATTTTCAGTAGCGGCAACGACAGTGACTACCTAGTTATTTGCAATTTATGATTATGAGTATAGACTGGAGATCAGATTGTGATGTTAATGTTTGAGTTCAATTTGCCCACATGTTAGGGCTTTGCTTTGAACTACAAGTGTGTGTTTTTAGTATTTTATTTGTGAAAATTTTTGCCGCTACAATTTAAGATTTGAGTATTTTATTTATCAAGGGAATTTTAGTAAAAATAGTACCCAGCCGGGTTAGGGTGTTTCATTTTGGTATCAGAGCCTGGTTTTCCTCTGTTCCTTGGTCTCCAAGTAATACTGGAATGTCGGTCTGAGTTTTCAAAGGTTTTGTTTTAAAGGAAAGGAAAATGAGTTAAGGGTCTCCTTTTAAGAGTTTATAGAATCTCCAGTCTACTCTAATCGTATTAAGGTAAATAACTAAAGTTCTAATAGAAAAGGTTTCAATCGTAGAGGAATACCTCTAGGATTTTGAAGGAGTTGAAGGAGTAGTACGAGGATTCCACTACTATGCAGCAAAGAGAGGATCTAATAAGAAAAAGCAAACAAATAGGAGAACTATGAATCTCCAAAGAAAGAGCTACAGTCACTAGATGTCAGTAGCTATAATGATGGGAGGATTTCAGGGTCCTTGACCCTAAGCAGTGGCGAGGAAGCAACGAGCCATGAAACGAAGAGGTACCACGAGAAGTCCCTCAACTAGTTTTAGTGGTCAACGCTATTGCAACATAGTGACAAGGTGTAGTGGAAAGCTTAGGCTTCAAGAAAAGCTAAGGTATTATAAATGAAGCAAATGAGGGAATAAGTAGGTTACAGTGAGTACGAAAGGACGTCAAGAAGTTAATAGGTCAAGGCAGAGAGGAGGCATGGTCCTTTACATATGACGACAATGGAACCCTTATAGATAAAGTACGTCACTAGGGAAAAGGGTACATGACCCTAGGGAATAAGACTGATAGCAAATCCTTACAAGGAAAAAGACAAGCGTCAAGATAATCGAGGTAGAGGATGAGCTTGGATCAAGAATAACAATGTGCTAGTGAACAACGCCGAGCTAGAAAGAGGATGGAATGGGATATAAGAGGCTGTACAAACTACCCAAATCACTAAAGGTCACGAGGTCGTTGGGACCGTTGAAAGGGGAATGCAAGAGTTCAAGATGATCTTTTGTGTCATTGGCCCATCCTAAATGGGGGGAGCATCTAGCTGTCTAGGGTACATGATGGGTGACAGAAGGAGGAACCTCTGTAATAAGTTGGAACTAGAGGGCTAAGAGTTGAAGTCTCGAAACTAGCTATAGGAGTAAGTCATTAAGCCAACCGAGTACAGACAAGTAAGTGGAACATTCGATAAATGTTCTAGTGAATGGCAGAGAATTCGTGGAAGCACATGGAAGTTTCGATGAAGGATTGAGAATATGTGTAGGTGACTCGGGTTCAAGAAAATGTGTAGTGGAGTACGACGAGGAAAAGCATTGCATTACCAAGAAGGAGGAAATCATAAAGTTACCTTACCCACGGTGCCCCACTCTGAGCGAGTACGACATAGTAGGAAGTCATCCATAAAAGAAGGCCAGTTAAGGATAAATTAGTGATATTTAGTTAAGCCACTAAGAGCCATGACTAAGAAATTAAGGCTATGTACAAGCATCGGTCGAGACAAAAGACGTGGATGAGGTATGTTCAAGCCTACCAAGGGTAAGCCACTATTGGAAGCTTTGACCCAAAACAACAACGAGAAGATACTCAACATAGTTTGGTGACCGAAAATAGTACAAAGTGTCAACAGAAGGGTAGTAAAAGTAAAGAAGCAAGGAGAACACCATAGAACGCGTTAGGAAATAAAATAAAATATAATAAAAAGGTGGTTGTCGACCGGATAATGAATGCGTGAAGGAAGATAGTTTGGACGTGGTCAAGCACCATCGTGAGTAGAAGTCGTGGGTGTCATCTGTCAAGTCTACCTAGAGAAAGTTTCTAGTGGAAATATTGGCTCTGAGGTATGGCGAGGAGCTACTAAACTGAGTAGATCAAAGCTAGTACCAAGCATCGATGAAGGAGTTGTGGAAGTAAGGAGGAAACCACAAGGCTATAATGAAATTTATGGTGAAAAGGGTGGTAATTGATAAAACGAAAAATTCAGGGAGAGAGATAGTTAGGAAGAGCCGGCGAAAGAATACGAAGGTCAACAATGGGGCCTTAAGATGATTGCCAGTGGAGAATAAGTTGGACAGGAAGCCCATCAAGAACGGAGAAGCTCAATGGTCAACTTTAAAGTAGAAGTGTGGTGGTCTAGAACGGTCAAAGGGAAAACCTTATCGGTCAAGGTACATAAGTGAGAAGAGAATATGGGCATCAAGATGACTACATCAAGGACGAGGGACATATAGAACTAGCGAGAAACATCGGTAAGAGGATTCACGAGTAAAGAAGTAAGATGGATATGAGTTTAGAACCTGCTAGGATACCCTAAAGTGAAAGCAATACCACCTATGAGGGTGCAATGTGGCGATCTCTCGGGTGAAAATTCCTTGGACGGGGAAACTGTACGAGGAATTTCAGGCAAGGTCAAAGAACAATAGAAGAGATCGTACGAGAACTTCCAAGTTATACGGTGATAAGGAAGTGTTAAGTTATGCGCCATGAGTGAAAAAGTACTCAAAATGGAAGGTCATGATTCCGGAAAGAAGTCATAAAGTTGATCGCAAGCTAGAGAAAGACGCAAAGGATGCCTCTAATGCATACAGGAAATAGAAGCAGTAGTATGAGGTTCCAACACTAAGCAGCAAGTAACGAGACGGTGACCATTCAGTTTATGGTTGGGGGATAAGACGAGGCATTGAGGAAGAAAGTAAGAGATGCAGAGTTAGGAGGTACAAGGACCTAGGTGACATATGAGGTCAACTCCGGACGAGAGTTACGTTAAAGGAATTTTACCATCTGATGGGATAGAGGATAAGCCGCCATATGTAATCCTAGGGTTCAAGAGGAGCATTAACGTCTCGTATACCAAACAATGGATAGTTATCGTTCCTATATGTGTACAAGGTGCAGCCGAGGTAATTTCAGGGGTTAAGAAGCCACAACATTATTGAAGTTGCAGGGAATGGAGAGAAGGATTTTAGGGCATGTCGTATAGGTTAAAGGAAGTAAAAATCCGCGAAGTGAAAAGGATTACCACAAGCGATGGATAGGGTAAACACAGTGAACAAATTTCGAGGACGAAATTTCGATATGTGGGGAGGAAATGTGATACCTCGACTTTGATATAGGTTCAACAGCAAGTACTGAATCAGTTGGACCAAATAAATTGAGCCGAAATTTGGTCCCATCACACTGTGGGCCCAAGTTGGAAAATTTTGAAAAGGGCAATGAATCACTCAAACCCATTCGATGCTACCGAGCTAGATGAGAATACCTGTTATGGTCAAGAGTACATATAAGAACTATAGTAAGCTATTCAAGACAAGGTAAAGGCACGCCATTGAAGTTCATATGGCATGAGTGAAATCTTGAGCCAAAGAAGCACGAGAATGAGGAGTATGGAAGGATGAGCCCGACCAAATTTCGAGGACGGAATTTTTATAAGGGTGGAGGAAATGTTACACCCCGCTCTTCCCAAAAGTCAAAATGACTATTATACCCTTGAGGAAATTTGTCTAATTCCACCGTAAAATCGATGGGGACTAAAAATGTGAACTCTCGGTCCAAACGAGGTGGAGTTTTGACATAACATGAGTAAGTTATGGACGTTAACTGAGTTTTGGATTAAACTCACACGTAATTGTGAGATTCCCATAATATCCTCAAATTAATTAAACCCTAAGACTTTTACTCTGCCTCGCCCGAATAGCAATTGGCAGCCTTTATTTTTCCACCGAGAAGCATCTTGGCAAAAGCGGCCGCTCTCTCTTCTCTACTGTTCCAGTTTCTGGTTCTCCGCTTTCTGAGCTTTACTTGCTCTTCGAATACCAGCAGAAAACTTCCAACTCTTTCTTCTCTTTTCTTTTTGTCGCTTCTTGCTTTAGACCACGACAACTGATTCAGTAATGACGGAGAGTGAAGAGGTCATAGTCAAGAGCGTGGTCATCGCCGCAGGATGCAATTGAATTGTGAATAACGTCTCGTGGGGCGCCTGTGATCTCATTTCCTTCGGTTCTCAGGATGCCGTTGCCATTTTCTGCTCCAAGACTACTCAGATATTGACCACTCTTCCCGGCCATAAGGCACCTGTCAATTGCACTCACTGGATTCCTGGCGCCAAGTTTGCATTCAGAGCAAAAAAGTTGGAGAGCCATTATCTTCTATCATGAGATTCGGATGGCGTCATCATTTTATGGGAGACGACACTTGCTGATAGAAAGTGGCGGCTAGTGATGCAGCTACCACAATTATAATATTTGGAAGCTGGTCCAACCAAGTACGAGTGTAATATTTGGAAGCGAGTATGGAAACTTTGGAACAAAATCATAGCCAGTTCCGACGGGAGTAAGGTGAGTGTAAAGGGGGTAAATTCTACGCCTTACGTATTCTTTTAAGTATTATGATTTTAAGTATTTTAGCGAATTGGTTATTGTTGCTTGGTTATGTGTATGATTGATTATTTGTGCTTTGATTGAGTTATGGTTTGAGATGATTTTGTGCTATTGGAGGTGATTTTGTTTGAGCTATGTTTGAAGTGAATGTTTTTAGTTATTTTGAAATTTTTACGAGTATAAGTTATTATTAAAGAGTAAGAAACTAGTTCTTTTAAAGAAGTAACCCACCTTAAAGACGGTGAAGTCGTTTTAAGTGTTTTTAGTCACTAGCGCCAGTCTGTTGCCATTTGAGATTTTCAGATAGAGCAGCAGTTATGGTCTTGAGATCTTTGAGACAGAGCAACAATTATGCTCTTGATACTTTTAAGATGAGCAGCAGTTATGCTCTTGAGAATCGGGGTGAAGAGCCACCACGATAAGCTTAAGATGTTAGGGGGATGAATCGTTACGACTTCCCTAACTAAGTTTAAGTTTAAGGAAATCCTGGATGGCTTCTCATACGTATGAGTTGGCAACCGGACTAGCTAGTGAGGGATCCCCGTGTCAGTCAAGTATTTAAGTCAAGATTTGAGTTTTAAGAGAGGAGAGTAACTTCAACTCTCTCAAAGTTTAAGAGTTAAGATTTTAAGATTGGAAGTACAAACAACTTCCACTAGTTAAAGTTATATGTTTAAGTAAAATACTCAAGTATGAGAATTATTAAAACGTAAGGGCGTAGACTGACCCCATTTCACTCACCAGTTTGACGAGCTAGAGAAGGAGCTAGAGGCGTAGTTAGTGGGCAGCAACTTCAAGGGCAGCCAGCTAGAGAAGGGCAGTGTAAGCGTCACGGAGGATGCCTAGTTAAGATTTTCAGTAGCGGCAACGACAGAGACTACCTAGTTATTTGCAATTTATGATTATGAGTATAGACTGGAGATCAGATTGAGATGTTAAAGTTTGAGTTCAATTTGCCCACATGTTAGGGCTTTGCTTTGAACTACAAGTGCTTGTTTTCAGTATTTTATTTGTGAAAATTTTTCCCTCTGCAATTTAAGATTTGTGTATTTTATTTATCAAGGGCATTTTAGTAAAAGTAGTCCCCGGATGGGTTAGGGTGTTTCAAAATAGCCACTCTAACACAAAATCGTTAGGAAGTGTGGTCAACCCAATGGGAGCTCGACAAACACACAAATTGACTCAACAATCCAAAAATCAAAAAGAAGGAATAGAAAATGCAAACTGTGGTGCGGTTGCCTCCCCACAAGCGCTTCTTTACTATCTTTTAGCTGAACGCAGATAGTGGATGCTCAGAGCGGCTTAGGAACAAGTGCCTCCAAGAGCGGATCCACATCGCTCTTGAGGTACATCTTCAAATGGTGAGCGTGCACCCTAAGGGTGCAGCCATCAGCACGGTATAACTTGACCTGAACATCTGGCAGGATGCAAGCAAGTGAATACTCAGATGGCCAGGGTGGTCACGTCCGGTGTGTAATCGCCATGTTGCTAGCTTCAAATCGGTTGAATAAGAATCATTGATTCCCTCTGCTGTCCATTTCTTATTCATTCAGAGTGCTCGGCTGGTGCTCAGAAGTTGGGACCAACTCATAGTGGTCTGCAGCTTTCTTTTTTATTTCAGAAAATATAATTTTCCTTCATTTATATCATTTTAAAAATAAAATAAATTATAAAATCATATTATTTAATATAAAAAAATCTAACAAGATCCTTTTTGTTTACTTTTTATTGTTTAGAATTTTTATTCATATTTTATATTATAAGTCTTTTATAGTCATTTTACACAATCTTTCATATTAAAAAGCACTTCTAATAATTTTACAGCCAAACACTCAACTGCTTTTTTTGAAGTACTTATCTAAAAGCTCCAGCCAGAAGCTGCTTCTGCAAAAGCTACCACAGGGCCAAACTAAGCTATAATCGATCTATGTTTCTTTCTTTCTTTCTTTCTTTCTTTCAATCGTTCGGGTGACTTTTGCCTGCAACGACTTCGTTTATTACCCACAAAAATAAAAATCAGCTTGTGGTTTGATTTGTGGATACCAGGAGATGGAGGGTGATCATCGATCCCGCCTAAGTAAACCAGGAAGGCACCACTTAATTAGCGGAAGATCAATTTACAAATAATGTTGATTATTGAAGAAACCAAAACTGTGGAAGAGTAAACAATCCCACAACACGCGAATTTACGTATTATCTCTGTTGGATGTGAATAGGACTCATCCACGAAGACCTCAACCTAGCTCTCCACTAACGACGATTATTATTATTGACTTGACGGCTTGCTCGCTTGCTGCTACTAGCGACTCGCAACTATGCTTTATAACCCACGCTAGGAGGCCAAACCCTAGCATGACTCGGCCATAACTCTCCTTCCACAACAAGGACATACCATTACGTAGACCGAAAGACAACTAGACAACAACAACAAAACGACTATGTGCAGTAAAAATACTACACCTCTACACTCCCCTTCAAGCGAAGGCGTGAATGTGAAGCATGCCGAGCTTGACAAGAAGTTCTTGAAATCCATCAGCACTCAAGCCTTTGGTAAAGAGATCTGTTGGCTTATCGAGGTAACCTCTCTCAAACTTGGAACACAACCTTTACTGCTTTTGTTTGCTAGTTTAGTTGGAATTTCACTACATTTGAACCGCTAAATAAATCTAAAGCAGCTATACTACGCATTAGTAGCTGGTTACACTTGGCCACTCTCTAGTGTGACAGTACAAGCGAGTCAAGTTTTTGGCACCGTTGCTGCGGACGGCTAGGTTGTTGAAGAAACGTGATTTCTGTTACTTTAGTATTTCTTTTCCGCATTGATTGTTTTGCTTTGTCCCACTTGTGCCTTCATGGGTTGCATGCTTGGCTGTGTGCAGGTAGTGCATGACCTGTAGCCAGTAGGGAGTTTTACTACCGTTGGATCCGGAGCTAGAACGTACTTGTCGCCACTTAGGAGGGAACAACAAGCAAGACTGTATACGAAGGAAGTGCAAGTAGACAACCATCTGAGCAGTGACTCCGATCAGGAGTACGATATTGGCGACGATCATAATAGGCAGAACTTGAACGTGGGGCAGAACCAACCCCTGGGGATGACCATCCAGGTTCCCCCAGTTAATCAGGTTCTGGCCAATAATCCACTCCCCCAAGCAGATGGTGCTCACCATCAACCACCCCCGCAGGGTCCTACTATGGAGTACTACTACACTGCACAGATCGCCGACATCCGCCCCGTCATCTTGTATCCATCCATTCCAGCAAATAACTTCGAGATCAAGCCATGCTGGATTCAACTGATAACATCCTCCATCCAGTTTCATGGCCTCAAGGATGAGGAGGCGAGGGTGCACATTCTTGAGGCAGAGTACTAGAGGCAGGAATTCACGGGATTGCGGTGTGCATGCCATGTAGGCTAGATCCGGGCTCGAGCAAGAGGTGGCAGAGCTGGTTCATACATTGAAGCAGGCCAACAGTCTCATTCCTGGAAGAGGAATGGCCGCCCATTCGGTTGCACGGTGCCAGTGGTGTGAGAGCTCGAACCATTTGGTTGAAGACTGCCAGGCTATGCGGGAATCTTCTACACCCCAAGAGCAGTTGGACTTCATCACCAATGCTCGTCGCCTGGATCCTTATAGTGGAACATATAATGAGGGGTGACGCCAGCATCCCAATTTCTCCTGGAATGGCAACAAGAGCAACATCACCAAGCCTCCTGGTTTCCCAGCACCAGCTGGTGGTTTTCAGCAAAGGCAGCCTTTTCAGACCCGACAAGATCCATTTCCACATCAGCAACCTTATCAGCCCAGAATGGGGTAACCCATTCAGCAGCAGCAATGACAATTTTCCCAACCGGCAGCAGCTCTCGCACAGGATGACCAGATGTTAGAGTTGAAAAGCATGGTGCAGGCCTTCGTGAGCACAAGCATAACGAATTTCGCCATGCTGGACTAGTGCATCACCTCACCAGAGCAGGCTAAAGGAACCAGGGTGCCATACTGCAGGATCTCTAGAACCAGATTGGAGGCATAGCTCGCCAAAAAAAGACCAGGGCACTGGGAACCCTGCCTGCCACCACCATCCTAAATCCTCGCGAGCCTCACCAGCAGTTAGATGGCATCACTACTCGAAGTGGCAAGACGACATCTACTATCCATGCTTCGGCCATGCAGGAGGAATCAACGCCTGCTTTAGCACTTCCAGCTGACAAAGTAGAGTGGGGATCGAGAAAGAAGCACCTGCTCCCAAGCCACAGCTAGTGGTTAAGGAGCATGTTCACCAGCTTCCCTTCCCCACTCGAATGCACAATGACAAGATGGAGACTGAGTTTGCCAAATTCATGGCAATGTTGGAGTAGGTCAACATCAGCATGTCGTTCATGGAGGCACTGTCAAAGATGCCCAAGTACGCCAAATTCATGAAGGATCTCCTCACCAACAAAAAGAAACTTGGGGATCTCTCGACAGTGATGCTGAGCGAGGAGTGTTCTGCCATTCTGCAGAACAAGCTGCCCGAGAAGCGCAAAGACCCAATGATTTTTACTATCCCTCTTGTTATTGGCATCATACATGTAGGAAAGTCCTTGGCTGACCTAGGCGCTATCATTAATGTCATGTCCTATAAACTGTTTAAGAAGCTAGGCCTAAGTGAACCTAGAACCACTAGGATCAGTATTCAGTGAGTTGATCGCTCTATTGTGCATCCTAGGGGTATCATAGAGGACTTGCTTGTTAACGTGGGTGAATTCACATATCCTGTTGATTTTGTTATTCTGTATATAAATGAGGATGTGGATGTGCCTTTGATTTTGGGTAGACCATTTCTTGCCACCACCAAGGTGCTGATTGATGTTCATAGTGGCAAGTTAATATTGCGGGATGGGAACAAGCTACATTTTCTGTGTCAGATAACGCGAAGCATTCCCATTTGCACGATGCCCTTGTGCGTTGTATTTAGCTAGGTGAGCAGGCATCACAGGAGCTACAGTTGGACGAGCAGCTGGTCGCACTAGAGAGTGGCGAGTTCTTGGAGGTTGATAAACTATTAAAATCGATCTCATCCACGACTCTCATCACCACTCTCTGGAGGAGCAACCAGAATTGGAGCCAAAGCCCCTCCCTCCTCACTTATAGTACGCATTTCTCCGGGAGGTGAACAAGCTTCCAGTCATCATTAGCTAGACCCTCACACACGAGCAGAAAACCAGACTGGTAGCCCTGTTGAAGTAGTACGAGCGAGCTCTGGCATGGAAAATTACTGATATCAGGTGGATCAACCCTTCTTTTTGTTCCCAACAGATACTGCTCGAGGATGAAATTCGGCTAGTGAGGCAGCCCCAGTGGAGATTGACACCGAACCTGGAGGTAGTAGTTCGGGCAGAGATTGTGAAGCTGATGGACGTGGAGATCATCTTTCGCCATTCCTGTCAGCGAGTGGGTTAGTCCCACTTAGGTGTTGCCTAAGAAGGATGGGATGACTATGGTACCCAATGAGAAGAACGAGCTCATCCCGATGCACACGATAACTGGGTACCGCGTCTACATCGACTACCGTCGCCTCAACGACACCACCCGGAAGGATCACTTCCCGCTGCCTTTTCTTGACCAGATGCTGGAGAGGTTGGCAGTGCACAAGTTCTACTATTTCCTGAACGGGATGTCCGGGTATTTTCAGATTCTCATTGCACCGGAAGACCAGGCGAAGACCACCTTCACCTGCCCTTTCGACACTTTTGCTTACCGGAGGATCCCATTCGGGCTTTACAATGCCCGAACCACATTTCAGCGATGCATGCTTGCCATCTTCGACCGACTGGTCGGAGAAATCATGGAGGTGATCATGGACGAATTTTCGGTTTATGGAGACTCATTCTACCACTATCTCCATAACCTGGAACTCGTCCTGAAACGGTGTGAGGAGATGAACCTGGCGCTGAGTTGGGAGAAGTGTCACTTCATGGTTCGTGCAGGCATAGTTCTAGGACATAAGATCTCCAAGATGGGGATAGAGGTAAACAGAGCTATGATCGAGACAATCAGCAAGCTGCCTCCTCCCACATTGGTGAAGGGGATCCACAGTTTCTTGGGCCATGTAGGGTTCTATAGGCAATTCATTAAAGACTTCTCGAAGATCGCCTTGCCCCTGAAGAAGCTCCATGAGAAGGATGTCCCCTTCCAGTTCACTGACGCGTGCACAGCGAAATTCACGACCTTGAAGGAGAAGCTCTCTCATGCTCCTATCATGGTCACTCCCGACTGGTCTTTACTGTTCGAGCTAATGTGCGACGCCAGTGACTTTTCTATTGGAGCTGTCTTGGGGCAGAGGCGAGATCAACATTTCCGTCCTATCTACTACGCCTCGAAGACCCTTAACAATGCCCAGGACAACTACACCACCATTGAGAAGGAGCTGCTAGCGGTGGTATTCGCCTTCGACAAGTTTCGTCCTTATATGGTCTTGTCCCATGTGACAGTGTACAAAGATCACTCTTGCAATACGATACCTGATGAATAAGGCCGATGCAAACCTCGGCTCAT